ACATTGGTTTGTTCAACCTCGATTGACCCTATACCATATTCGAGTTACAATTTCAATATAGAGAAAATGATTATTCAGTAAGATGTAATAATCCTTAATACGAATGATCCCCAATCGAGACAGAAAGAAATGTAGGAAATCAAAACGTTCTCTCGTATTTTCTAAGAATGAAGTAACTGTTCTAGAACCATCGTTACCAGTACCATCCTCGACCAGTCAGCAATATGAAACGATAACTGAGTTTCCAGCAACTAATGGTGTTACGGTAATTAGTGGATGCAAAGATCGGCCTACTATTTGCGGAACTGAAGCTGCCTGTCGTAGTTTCAGTGATAACACCTCCCAATGCGTTTGTCCGCATGATACTTCCCCACCTACGTCAGACCTCAAATGTCCGAAACGTTTGACCGGTAAGGGTTAACTTTATTTTTTTTTATTTTTAAGAGACCTAACGTTGTCCAACGATATTTCTTCATATTTCTTTTAGTCCCTTTGACTCCACGACCCATACATAATATAATACCACCAAGTGGTAATGGAACAAACAGTACAACTGCAATACCAGAAGCTGAACAGGTATTCATTATTTGTACAATTCTATTCGACATATTTAAATTATAAATCAATAATTAAACTTCTTAACGTACACATAATGGATAGTATTATGATATTATCGTACAGGTTGAACGTTCGAGGCATAAAGTACCTGAAATAGTTGGAATTGCTATAGCATTCGTCGCGATTATAGTTATCCTCTTGAGTATAGTCTATTGTGTGAGGAGACGAAGTTATGGTGTTAAGTCACAGAGAAATTCGTTGGATGTAAGTAAAATATTTTCAAGTCAAAAAAGAAAAAAATGACTTCTCACAATTGTTTGATATTTTCCAGTCATCTCCGATGAACCTGAAAAAGGGATTATTGTTACCAAACAAATACACGCCTAATCCTCAATATTATAGTTGTAACTCGCCGGAAGTATTCATTTTGCAACGTGAAAATCTTGTCTTTTTCCATGATATCGGCGAAGGCTGCTTTGGTAAAGTTTACAAAGGTAAATTTTCTAATATATTTAAATATTCTCATTTTTTAAAAATTAAATTAAATATTACCTTTTTGTATTTCTTTGTAGGTGAATTAAGAACTGAAGATGTAACCGAGATCGTCGCGATAAAAGTTTTAAAAAATATCGTCTCAAGAGAAGCTGAGGAAGATTTTATGCGAGAGGCGGATATCATGTCAACCTTTAAACATGAAAATATTTTAAGTTTAAAAGGTGTGGTACTTCGTGACGCCGGTAACAGTCCATGGATGGTATTTGAATATATGTCGTATGGTGATCTCGCTGAAGTTTTGAGATCTAACTCGAGACAACTGCATTCACCTAATCCGGGATTAGAACCTTTAACAAAAGTATTTATTATTATTATTATTATTATTAGAAAATATTGAACTTTTTAGTTTATTTCTAACGATATTTATATTAATTAGGGTTCCTTACACTGGATAGCCATTCAAATAGCTGCCGGTATGACATATTTATCAGCACAGAGATTCGTTCATCGTGATTTAGCCTGTCGTAATTGTCTCGTTGGATCCGGGCTCGTTGTCAAGATCGCAGACTTTGGTTTATCAAGGGACGTCTATACCTGCGATTATTATAAAGTATGTACAAACATATACAAAGACATATCATAAATAATATTAAATAAAATTTTATCATAAAAATTGAAAACGTACTTGACATGAATATAAAATTGTAGATCGGTGGTTCAAGATTATTACCAATCCGATGGATGGCACCAGAAAGTTTGTTGTATGGTAGATTTACATTAGAAAGTGACATTTGGAGTTTCGGTGTAGTCTTATGGGAGATTTACTCCCTTGGCAAGCAACCATATTACGGACACAGTAACGAAGAGGTAAGATTAAAAGATTTGTTTGCTTATGTAAAACAAATGAGGTATGTTACTTCATCATCAAGATTTTGTACGTAGGTGATGAAGCTTGTACTACATGGAATTATGTTAATTCCTCCTGACGAATGCCCACAATTCATTTGTCAAATAATGTGCGAGTGTTGGAAGACAGAACCGAAAGATCGTATTAAATTCTCCGACATATTGGAGAGATTGGAAAAAGTCCAAGGAAAATTAAATCAACAGGGAACATTACCTAGACCACCGCAAGGTCCTGTCACCATTCGTACACCTGATATTTTAGATTCTGACGGTTACTTGTTGCCTTCGCCATTTACGCCTCGCGAATATTTACAAACTTTGCCGGCATTGACCGATTAAATTAAAAAAATACAATAATATATTAATTTAAGAAAATATGATTTCTTGAACGATCGTCAACGTTTCGTAGATTTTTGTTTTGTTTTCTTGATGTTTTATTTTTTTTATTTTTTCATTTATTTCGCAATGCAATTCGAATACTTATACATATATAT